CAATCTCCCAAAGTGTTGAGTTTACAGGCGTGAGCCACCACACCCGACCATAAATAATTGTAATATAGAAAAAACTACAGCATCAATTGCATATATTTTCTAGGAATTTGTATGTGTTTAAGATGACTTAATCATCAATACGGTTTTTAAAGTATAACAGCTTGTCACTTTAAATTTCAACCAAAGGGGAAAGATGATGGATGTAACTGCCAATGCACCATTTTGTTTCTTCAGCACATATGCTAAAAATGGCGATTGGAGGCCTTACTATTCAAACGTGTTGAATAACCCATTGATATTCCATGCCAAATGCATCATATGACACATAGGCAGTACTAGTTCCAATATGGAAATTCCCCGAATTATAACTCCTCCCCTCTTTCCCAGCACTCACAATTACATAACAGAGTGGAGTCGTCTCTGCCTCTGTGGGAGGGGGGACTGCTAATACAGTCAGAATGACAGAACCAACAGCTTCTCACCCAGTGCCCCAGGATCAGACAGACCAGGTGACTGGGATAGTGACAGCAGTATTGGGCCAAGGTAACAAAACCTGGGACAATCAACCCAACACCAGCTTGTCATATATTCCTAAGAAGTTTTAAAACACCTGGGAAAGAAACATTTGTATCTTTCAACAGCAATTTTCAAGTTATTTCTATCGAAAATATCAATAAACCTAAGGAGGCCCAATATTAACAAGAGAATCCACTCCCCGCTAAACACACACAAATTCAAATAACACTTCATTCATTAACATTATAAGCCTGGCATCTGAGTGGGACATCCCAGAGCTATATTTGCATAATGATATTCTGTTAAATCTAATTGCTTTAAAATACCCATTGTTCTTTGCACCTGTCTGATGAGAATCCGCCTCAGCAGTTCCTAAAATCTAGATAACTTAAGAGCTTCATTCAACAGATTGCATATAATTCAACAGATTGTCAAGCACCTGTTGTGTCAGGCACTTGGCCGGGGCTATCCAAGAATATAGTTAGTAATGTGACTCCTGACCTCTTGGAGCTTACATTCTACCACTGAATAAGAAAACTAATAAAAGTGGTTAGAATGTTAAAGCATGCTCTGGTCTAAGAATGCTGAAGGCCTTGAGATAAGAGGAAAAAAAACTTCTCTTCTCCTGTCCCTCATGTTTTGCAGCTTACAAAGATGACAGCAGAATGGCAGAACCAGAAGCAAAACAAAGTGTTGTAATATTTTGCTTATAAAGCTTCTTTGTATGTCTGTTGCTGTAAATAAAGTCAGTAACTCCAAGGCAAGGTGGATGCCTCAAGATTCATTCAGCCATACAGAGCCTTCTCCATTTGCCCTAAGACTTCACGGGTCACGGGTACAGTAAGAATTCCTATCTCCAGGCCTTTATTACTGAACATTATTCCTTTCTCCAGAATGCCCTGGATAGTTGAATCCCCCAAAGAGTCCCACAACACCTGAAGATACTGTCTCACAATTACTGAACTCCTGAAAGTGAGGTTCACAATTGATACAGCTCGAGCGTCCTCACAGTGTGCCACCCAGGAGCCCAGCATCTCCTGGAGTGGAATGTCAGCACTAAGGGACCAGGCGGTGATCTTGTGGTGGGGACAGACACTTTAGAGGAGGTATCCAAAATCTTTATCTGAATGCATCCCTGGCCAGGTATAGAAATGCTCATCACAAACAAGCAAAAATAGACAACAATCAAAAAATTTAAAACTAAAGGCCTAGCCTCTGGGATTCTTTTAATAATATAGCCTGCTAGTATAGTTCCTAACTTGCCACCTTCCCTAAGGTATTGGCCATATTTCTCAATTCTGTATGAAACAACAACAAAAAAAACATAACCTCAGACAAAAAGGGAATGTATTCACCATGCAAGTGGGAAGCCCTAGCATGGAGGACATCTACCATTCCAGAACCCAGATTCCTCGAGTGCCATCAGGCTCAAGCCTCCAGGCTCTGCTCCCTGTGTGTGCTACATTCTGCTTGGTGCCAGGAAGGCTGCCACTTGGCAGCCCACACACCACTAGCAATCCAACCAGAAAAGGCAGTCTCTCTCCCTGCTACTCCTACAGAAAAGCACCAAATGGGACTCCAGTTGACCTGGGGGATCACACGCCCATTCCCTGAACTAACGCTGTGTCTCCAAGGTGATGCCATAAGGTTCTATGAGGAAGAAAATGCCAGAAACAATCCCTGAGGAAACCAGCATAACTTTCAGAGTTCTTAGGAAAACAGACTGAAAACCAGGGCTCTGATTAAGATGTTCTTGGGAAAAAAACTGCACCAATGTTCCATACCATGCCCTAGAAATGAGTTTACCCTATTCCTCTCCATAACAATCATTTAACACTATTTGAAATTGAAAAGAGGAAATAATAGTTAAAATGTTTAACATGTTTATCAAATGCTTGAAACCCACTTCATTCTGCCTCCATCTAGGACACATTCTTATTTGTTATAGCACAAGTGTATATAAAGGTCTCAAATTAAGTCTTCCAGGGGATGACTGCCAATTGGATTCATTCTCAAAATCAATATCAATGCCCAAAGCTGCTACAACCTTCAATCCTACAGAAAATTCTAGCTGCATGGTAATTCCTGAAAGCACTTAACTCTATTTCGAGATGGCCTTTATAGAAAAATTTTTGGAGACCTACCTTAACTTATGCTGTAAGCGTGAACATTGTGATGATGGCTGACTCTGGGCACACTACCTATGGTTTAGCCCTGGTCTCCAAGCAGCAGTGTCAGGGGGTGGGGTGGGGGGAGGCAGGGGGGAAGAGAAAAAAAAAAAAAAAAACAAGAAAAAAAAGAACGTTGTAATGATTAGCTAATTGCAGCAAATATTTGCCCCTCATTAAAATAACTTCATATTAAAACAAATTGTCAGAGATCACCACTTCTAGTACAAGAAATGAATGAGGGCTGGGCGTGGCGGCCCATGCCTCTAATTCCAGCACTTTGAGAGGTTGAGGCAGGCAGATCACTTGAGGTCAGGAGTGCGAGACTAGCATGGCCAACATGGTGAAACCCTCCTTCTACTAAAAATACAAAAATTAGCCGGGCATGGTGGCATGGACCTGTAGTCTCAGCTACTCAGGAAGCTGACGCAGGAGAATCACTGGAACCCAGGAGGCAGAGGTTGCAGTGAGCCGAGATCCTGTCATTGCACTCCAGCTTGGGACACAGAGTACGTCTCTGTCCACCCCCTCCCCGGCAAAAAAAGAAAAAAATAAAAATAAAAATAAAAAATGACTGGGAACAGCTTATATGTCAATCCATGAACATCATTAATGATTTAAAGTTTTATTATGCTACATCATTTATGTTACTATATACTTTTTATATTTTTAAAGCAAATATAATTTAGAACTACATCTACCACACATAAGAGCCTGCAAAGGGGAAAATATGCTTAATCACAAATCATGAATCCAATAGCAAAGAAAGTTCACAGTTTATTGTTTGGTTTTTTAGAAGATACTGTCACTGGGGACTTTGTTTCTGTGTCAGGATCAAGTCATGGGAAGGAGAAAAGTGGAGGGAGGTGAGGGCCTAGGCAGGGGAAAAAGCAGAACGGGAGGCCCAAGACTGGTGAAGAAGGGGACTGGGCTGGGCGTGTGGCTCATGCCTGTCATCCCAGCACTTTGGGAGGCCGAGGCGGGAGGATTGCTTGAGCCCAGGTGTTCAAGACTGGCCTGGGCAACACGACAAGACCCCATCTTTACAAAAAAAAAAAAGCGCCAGGTATCGTGGCATGCACCTGAAACCCAGCTACCAGAGAGACTGAGGTGGGAGGATCACCTGAGCCCAGGGAGGCTGAGGCGGGAGTGTCACCTGAGCCCAGGGAAACTGAGGCTGCAGTGAGCTGTGATCACACCACTGCACTCCAGCCTGGGCAACGGAGTGAGACCCTGTCTCAAAAAAAAAAAAAAAAAAAATCAAAAGAGGGGAGCAAGAGTAAAAAGACAGTGAAATATAAAATGCCAAATTCCTTAAGACTGTGAGTGTGCACATATACATCAACAACAAAAGCATCCAGAGTCTCTAAAAGATTAAATTATGTGACTTTACAAACACATGATTCCAACAGGAAAAGAAAGAGATGCTTAAATAAATTAATGCAGTCAAGCAGGTATTTTTCTGATAAGTTTAGATTTTTAAAGGAGATGTTTAACAGAAAGATATATCTTTTTTTTTTTTTTGAGACAGAGTCTCGCTCTGTCACCTAGGCCAGAGTAGAGTCGTGCAATCTCGGTTCACTGCAACTTCTGCCTCTCGGGTTCAAGCGATTCTCCTGCCTCACCCTCCTGAGTAGCTGGGATTACAGGCATGCACCAGCATGCCCAGCTAATTTTTTGTATTTTTAGTAGAGATGGGGTTTCACCATGATGGTCAGGCTGGTCTCAAACTCCTGACCTCGTGATCCGCCTGCCTCGGCCTCCCAAAGTGCTAGGATTACAGGCCTGAGCCACCGTGCCCGGCCTCAGAAAGATATATTATTTGTATAAAATAATGCAGGGATCTCTAAAATTTCTAAAATTCCTATCAGGAAACAATGGCAAAATAAAACCAGGTTTGCAAAAATTGAAAAAGTTTCTCTTAATTATATTATATTGTAACAAACAATTACAGACAACACACTTAGTTCTATACCTACTTTCTTGGTCAGATAAAATTATCTTCGGAATACACACAGAAAATAAACATTGGAAAGAGAAAACTGAAATCCAACGGTAAACAAAAATAAAGGAGGGGATCTTAGATTGTCCAAATACACTGCAGCCTCCCAACTCGTATGAATTATAATACAGAGACTTGGGGATAAGTTCATAGAACACCTGCCTCAATCTTCAAAGAACGGTAACAAACACGAGGGCTTCCGGGAGCTGGCAGCGTCCTACTTCTTGATCTGCGCAACTGCCCAGATGTCTGTTTTACAGTTGGTTGAACTGCACATCTGCTTTATGCACTTTGTTATATTTCACCACCCACCTCCCCCCTAAAAAAAGAGGTTAAATCTAAAAGGTACAGGATGACTGGAGAAGGGCAAGCACTGTCTCAATTTTCCAAAACTACCGATATTTATATTTACTATGAATCCCTAGCAAGATTCTTACAAGAAAATAGCTTGTAAAAGCTAATGAGGCTGACATGGGAATTCATAAGATACAAGGCTGTGAAACTTCCTTTTTCAACCGTGTTATCTGTCGGGAACTAGGGCCTATAAGCACTATGAGATGTCTATTTGTTCAGCGCAGTCCTCATGACAATGGGGTGAGAGTGGAGGACAAGCTGGAGAAATACCATCAATGCTGGAACATGATCTAACTTTGAAGAGAGTAAAGAGAACGAACAGCAGGATCAAGTTCACTCTAGAGGGAAGACTCTGCAGACGTGCTGCAAAGTTCTATGCCCCGACCTCTCAACATCTGAAGGTAAGAATATAGGAGGCATAAAATAGCAGGTTTAATGGGTAATGAATTTGGGACTAATAGATGAGTTTAGAGGCTATTTCCTGAAATTAGGATCAGAAGCCTTTGTTAAAATATAAACTGCAACGACGGGTGTCTACAGGAATAGATTTGCGGGTGGAAAGTTGAGGGTATTCCCAGTGATGGCTTCTACTTCTTCTGTGAAAGGCACTGTGAAGATGGAGGGAACAGGGGACTGAGAAGAACGGGGAAGCTCTAAGAAGCTGATGCAAAGAACGGGTAAGAAATCTAACTGGAAACACAACATAAGTATTAACATTTAGATTTACAAATGGCAGCCAGGCCCAGTGGCTCATGCCTGTAATTCCAAGCAACATGGGAGGCTGAGGCAGCAGCAGGATTCCTTGAGCACAGCAGTTTAGAGGCCACGGTGAGCTATGATCGCACCATTGCACTCCACCCTGGGCAACAGAGCAAGACCCCATCTCTAAATAAATAAATTTGCAAATCGCTAATGGGATATTTTCACAATTTTCTTCAGTGGATAGCTACATTTTAAAAGTAACTCCATAATCTCTGTGAATGACGCATTTGTATTTTAAGAACTTTAGCTCTAATTTCAGAGAATATTAACAATTTTTAGATACAAGACATTCTGAAATCTTCAGTTACTTTAACAGAAAAACATCTTGCTGCAAATTTTAATAAAGTATATCAATGGAATTAACAAATAACTTGACTAAGAAAGGACTAGATTTGGCCAGATACGTCCCACCCCAATTTAATCAAAGAAAATGAGAAAATAAACTGTAGCTTAATTATAATCATATAATTAGAGCTTCCCCACAGACACAAGAAAGTAAACCACTTTCACATGTAGTGAGTGTTGGCTGGTGGATTATTTTAAGCATCTATTGTTACACAGCAGTGAGGCCTCTTTAACATGATCAAGTATGTACAGTTTAAGTCCAATCATTTCCTTGGTTAGCTGTTTCATTCTGTTTTCATTTTGAGATATTCAAGCACAATCTAGTCCATAATATTTTGCCTTTATCCATCAGGATATATTTGTAAAAGGGCAGAAGTTAACATATTAGCTAGCAAGGCTATTTAAATAATCTACCCGAGACCTATAAAGTCAATATTAATTCCCAATGAAACATAATTAACTTCTGCAATTTAATAAATGGGTAGCTTTGATATACATGAAAAAAATGTAGACTGATTACAGTTGAAAATTTTCTCTCAGGAGCTATTAAAACACTAAATGACACCACAAAATATGCTTACAATTGGAATGTTAAGACAGTTAACTTTGACTTTTATTATGTTACCTATACTTTTTTCACAGAAAACTCCAGAATAATCATTGGTACCAATGAAAAAGTATTTCAAACAACAACTTTTTCCTTATATTCAACTTTCCAGACATAAATGTAAGGCATAAAAAAGTCACACTGGTTTCTAATTGGTTCATAGCCCTGTTTTTTTATTTTTTTTTCCCCCTTTGACTTAATAATCTGAATGCTGGTTAAATGAAAAATGGTCTGATATGCGGCTATGGAGCCCGGTTCCAACACGAAATGTGCTCCTTGAGCAAGTCAGTTACCTCACTAACTTTCACCTCCAACCTCATGAGATGAGGACATGAAGACATACAGAAAGAATCTGCATGGAAACTGACATGCAGGACATGCTCAAACATGGGAGGCTGCTTTTTCTAGTGATCTTCTGGATGAAATCTACAGATAATGGTCCTTCACCAGCAAAAGGAAGCATGCTCCCTTTAACCATGAACTGTATCATCCATGTATGTTAATCGAGTCATCAATAGTTTCTATTCATGACAGGGGAAATATCATCCCTTGTAATAGGTCTGGCTTTGACAGGCAGCTTCACTAGTCATTCAGAAATAGACTGGGTAAACTGTTACAGAAACTACACACAGGGCATTGCTAATAAGAGCTACACATTACTTTTCCAATTTTACAAAGAGCATAAATAGAGAACATATGCCATTCTAATAATTCCCAGGAGTGGTATAAATGTAACTCGGCTCATTTGTGTTTTAATTTTTTTAGAAATTATGGTTACTTCAAAAATTGAGAGTCATGTGAGTTCCTATGTTCAGTATATTTTATAAACCCAAATATGGGCTAAGGTTATAGCAACTTTTATTCCAAATGCCATCAATTTTCAAAATAACCCCCAAGATGAAAGATACTCATCGAAGTTTGTAAGTGGCTATCCAGAATTAAGTCAAGCACTTTAAGAAAAGGACAGTAAAAAGGGATATAATCTACTTAATGGTTCTTGAATTCTTCCATGCCATTACTTACACCACTTACCTATCTATCCTCTACTTACAAAAGGGAACAATAACAGGAGACAAAATAGAAATAGAATTGCTGCAGGGGAAAAAAAGCTAAATTGGGATAATACAGAAAAAGTACTTTAAAAGAACTAATGATACGAAGGGATATGATCACCAGAAAAACATACATATCGACCAAACATTTCACATACCCTTTACGTCTTGTTTTCCCTCAAGACAGACCCTAACTACAACAAAGTATTCCCATGTAGAGCTTGTTCCAGCATCTATGATGTGACAAATTATTTCTTCAACTTGGTGTCCGTTCTGATTTAGATTCCCACTCTTCAAAAAATACAGGCCAGAACTCATTTCCTTAGCAGACACTGTGAATACCTCAATGTTTTCACGCTCCTCAAAACTTTAAAAAGAGAAGAGGGGGGGAAAAAAAAAAAGCATTTCCCTAGGTCACCAACAATCAGTAATAATCTGAAAAAAGGAAAAATCTCTTCTTTTTCCTTCAGGAATGGAAATGGGAAGGAATGGTAAAACCCCAAACAGTGCATCTGTGAGAGCCCATGAGTGGCTCTGTTATTAAACATGGAAACAGAAATATCTACTTCAGCTTGTCTGAGCCTCAAATTTCCTTAGGTGTCCGTCTAAGAACACCTAAGTATAGGCACAGCTGGTCTATCAGCCTCTAAATAAAAAGAGGAGCCACAGCCTGTGAACTAAGCTCTGGATGTAAATCTCGTGCTTTCAGTAAATCCACAGACCTCTCATCGTGGCACACCCTCCCGGCTACGAGCAGGAATAATCTCTTCCCCCATTTAGCTCAACTACTTTCCTAATCCCACGTACATGATCACTAGCCTCCTAAGAAGAATTCTCAAAAATACTGGGGATCTCGGGAATGTGTATCAAGTAGTTGGATATTAAAAAAAAAAAAACTTCCAAATCCTGACAATTTTTACAGTTACTAGGGTCAGAAGTACAGTGATTTTGTATTTAAGTGATAGATTTTTCCATTTTGTAAAACTTTTTAAATGAAACTTTTATAATTAAATTATATATTTATATATTTATAAAATTATATATTATACATTATAAGAAATATATTTCTTAATTTCTCAAATACAAGGATTTTCCTGTTATCTTTTGGTTGATTCCTTCTATAATTTCATAAGAAAAATACATGATTTTAATCATTTGAAATTTATCAATACTTGCTTTATAGTCCTATATGTAATCAATGTCAGATGTTCCATGTGCTTGAAAAGAATGGATTATATAGGAACTGTAATATTCTGTGAATGTCCATGAGGTCAAATTTGTTAATTAATCATGTTCTTTAAGTCTTCCATATCCTAAGTTTTCTGCAAGTCGTATTATTCAGAAAGGTATGTTAACTTCCCAGTAGGATTGTGCATTCACCTATTTTTCTTCTGTTTCTGTATATTTTTGCTTTATATAATATGTACCTATATCTGAACTGAACCTTTTACCACTGTACAGTGATCCTCTTCATCTCTAATGCCTTTTGCCTTGATTTCTATTTTGTCTGATATCAACATGTTATACCAGCTTTATTTTGCTTAAAGTAAGCCTGAAATATAATTTTCCATTATTTTGCCTTCTGTATCTTTGTTTTTAGATACGCTTCTTGTAAACCTAGTATGTCAGATGTCTTTAATCCAATCTGACCTGCCTTTTAGCAGAATCCTCTAGTCTATTTACATTTATTGTAATTACTGACACCCGGATTTATAACTATCATGTTATTGTGTACTCTCTGTTTTTCCTGCCTCCTCTATACTCTCTTTGTAGTAGACAATGGTGTTAAGGTCCATTTTCTAAGTTTTCTCCTTGTGTTGAGTACTATCAGTAAGTTGTTAGATAAAATGATTCACCAACTTTTATTATTTATATGTCTTAATATAACTTGCCTAAATTCTCATACTTCTAGTTGATAGCAAAACACAGGACATAAAATCTTTATGAAATTACAATACAACTACCATCTGGTCTTTAACCAACCTATGGAAGTACAAGGCTGTCCATTAAAAATGACAACAGTAGGCTCTCAGAACTGCTGCAGCTTAGGCAGTAACCAAGCTGCTTGCACATTTTTTCTTCTTCTGGTTTTATCCAATGAAACTAAGGTATATTATCACAAAATAGATATCTACTTATGTATGTAGTATCAAATATTATCGATGCTTGGGGCAACCAGGTATCACTAATTATATTTACCCTATCATAATTCTCCTTTAATACCCAGCTCAAAATAAAAACCAGTTAAAGCCGAAGTCTTCAGAAGCTAAACGGTGTCATTCCACTTTTAATGGGGGGAAAAAACTATTTTAACAGTCCTACTAATTTTTTTAAGTGTTACACAAACGATCACACTATAAGATAAATCATGAAAAGTAAACAAGCCAGTACAAACCCTAGCATCATGACACAGTAAATACGATATTGGTGACTGCAGAAGGAAAAGATGAGACATCACCAGGAAAAGGTTTTCCCAGACACCTCACTGACTGGTGGTTCGAGGTAAGATCATTAGCCCTGAGGCCCAAAGGCTCTATCACAGTCTAGAGTTGATCAGGAAAAATGCTTCAGGGCAAAGTTAAAGACAATCAATTATAAAAAAGCAAAATGGCATATTATCAGTATTATTAATTTACAAAAAAATAACCACCAAGAAGACTGAATACTGAACTCCTCTGGTCAATGTAATCTGTCTCACTAGATAAACTACACTAGAGAACAGATAATAATCAGATATGTGCTGAGTAAATTTGGAATCACAACAAAGGGATTTACTGGTTTCAAAAGTTCATGGCATCACACTGCATCCATTTCCATTGTGAGAATATGCCTGCCTTAGGATACGGTCCCCAAATAAATAATGCCTACATAAACACTAATAAACTTTGGTTTTTTTTTCCCACACTCACTGTTAAATGACAACTTTTTTTCCTATGTGGCACATCCATCCTGTTTTATGATAGACTGAATGTCACCCTCTCTCTCCTTCTTAGATCCATTATATACTGATTGACTTAAAATGGTTTACTTCTCCTAAGCCAAACTTACTGTTATTAGGTACCTTACCCATCCATCACCAATAGCATGACCTTTTGTTATCATGCTACATTAAAAAGCAGGCGTAAATGTGAGAGGCACAAAGTCCCCAAACTTCATCCTCCACCTGCTACTTCATCAAGAGTCCAACACTGCCCAAGGAGTAAACCTTCTGTAACTACCAATCCAGGATGTGGTCTATAAGATACACGTACTCTTAGGCCGGGCACTGTGGCTCATGCCTGTAATCCCAGCACTTTGGGAGGCCGAGGCAGGCGGATCATGAGGTCAGGAGATCGAGACCATCCTGGCTAACATGTTGAAACCCCACCTCTACTAAAAATACAAAAAAAATCAGTCAGGCATGGTGACAGGCACCTGTAGTCCCAGCTACTCACGAGGCTGAGGCAGGAGAATGGTGTGAAACCAGGAGGCAGAGCTTGCAGTGAGCCGAGATGGTGCCACTGCACTCCAGCCTAGGCAACAGAGGGAGACTCAGTCTCAAAAAAAAAAAAAAAAAAAAAAAAAAGAAAGAAAGAAAGAAAAAAGATACACGTACTCTGGCCCAAAAAGGCAAGTATGACTTCAGAGTTGCCTTGCCTGTATCCTTCGCTTGCTTAATCCTCTGCCCCCACAAGGCTGGTCTCCCCAGAACACAGGCCTAGCCAGCTCCTTCATGAACACTGTGTTCAGTCACTCAGGTCCAACAGTCAAGCACAGTTCCATCCAACAGTAACCTCCTCCCTCCCCAGCCCCATTCCCCTTCCGGTTGGAGGAGCAGGCTTCTTTTTCAGATGACTAACTCCAAGAATGATGTTCTCTTTAAGTGATAACGAGCCATAGTCTAATAAGGGTGAGACTCTGCTCTTCCCACAAAACCACAGCCCTCATAAAGTCAAAGGTATACATCTAAATAGGGTATTGTATGTATTGTTTTTGTTGTTGTTGTTGTTTTAAACTGCAACCGCAGGGCAGCCGAAGGCAATGGGGGATTGAGGAAGGAGGCAGCAAAAGTAGGAGAGGGGCAAGAATCCAGAAGGGAAATGAGAACGACAAAACCGAAGTGCACTTCAACATGCTGCTGCCAAAGGGGTAAAAAGGAGAAAGTGCAGACCAGTCACATAAATGCCACAGTGACATGCATAAAAACATGAGGGGCACACTCCAGGGACAGAGCCTGACAACATGACAAGCTACATGGCATCAAACTTTCATGTGACAGGCAGCTTTTCACATGTGCATCTTAAGACTGGAACTTCCTATAGATAAACCTTATGGAGTTAATAAAAGCAAAAGCCATCCTCTATTCAGTGTTTGCCGCCATGTTCCAGGCATAGTACTTGGCACTCTTTATCATTTCATTTCATTTGATCAGCTCGGAAAGTCCTCCAAATGACTATTTTAAAAAAAATAACAGCTCACTTTTTGAAAAATAACTTCGACTTTTATTTCAGATTTGGGGGTACATATACAGGTTACATGGGAGTACTGAATGATGCAGAGGTTTGGGGTGCAGACGATCCCATCGCCCAGGGAGTGGGCATAGTACCCAACAGGTAGGTTTTCACTGCACTCCGTCTTCCTCCCTCCCGCTCTAGTAGTCTCAAGTCTCTATTGTTGCCATCTTTATGTCCATATGTACGTACGCGACGGTTAGTTCCCACTGACAAGAACGTGTCGTTTTTGGTTTTCTGTTCCTGTGTTAATTCACTAAGGACCTCCAGCTGCATCCACCTTGCTGCAAATGACATGATTTTTTTGTTTTTTATGGTCACATAGTAGTCCATGATGTATATGAACGGCTCACATGTATTGCACACTTACCTTCATGACTGTGAGTCAGGTACTGGTATTAATCCAGCTTACAGTGGAAAAAGCTGAGTCAGAGAGGGTAAAAAAATTGCCTAGGATCACACAGTTATCAAGCAGTGAAGCCAAGAATCAAACCCAAGCAGTAAACCTGGGCTATGCATTAAAACCTAAGTTCATGACCATTGAGCTTTGCTGTCTCTGATGTAAACAGCGTCCCCACTTTAGAGATGAGATTTAGGGAGGTAAACACACCAAGGCCTCACAGAAGTGCAGGGCTGAGCTAGGACCTGAATCCACCTAGTCTCTGTTATAACACTCCTCTCATCGTGGAATTATACATATTTAAGTACTTATGAAGCAAGATACTTACATTTAAAGTGAATCTCCACTTATTTTCAGGGACTCACTTCACAAAAGGAAAAAAAAAAACATATTTAGTGTGTTTGTAACTGGCTAGACACTAAGCCACACTCTAGTGCATTAATTATTCCCTGGGAATTAATAAAGTACTTAAGAAACTTGTATTAACTCTTTCAGGCCACAGGGGTACCATTCAGTGAACTGAATTCTTAATCTACTAAAATGGTACCCGGGAGGTTCGGAAGAACATAACTTCCTCTGAGGGCATGGGGAGAAAAAACTTGTAAAGCCACTTAGGAATATAAACTAAATTCAGAACAAAATTAAAAACCAAGCTACAGGGAAATACTGTTCTAGTGGATTAGCCTCTGGCCCTAAAAATTTGTCAGAAATGAAACACGGAGGTTGGAAATATCGAGGGATCGCAAATCACCTTCGACGGCACATTTGAGCCCAATGGCTAGGGCCCTGGAGCCTTGACTGCAGTAATCAGAAAACAGGTAAAAAGTTACTTTGTTCCAACTTCATCAGGTACTTCTCGGAAAGGCATAGTAAGGGCAACAGCTTTATGACATCACCAGATATCCAACTGGTATCCAACATATCTTCCCATTTTTTTCTTGCGGCCTCCTCACCTGGGGGTTCTGACCTATCAGCCTGTCTGCCAGAAATATTCCTCCCACTGTCCCATAGTGGCAGCACATCACTAACCACAGGTCTCCAGCAATCTAAATCTTATTGCATGTGTTGTATGCTCAAGACAATATAAACACTACTAATGCAAAATTAGGCTCTTTCACCTATAAAAATATTGCTCCATATACTAAAGCATATAAGATGTGTGTCAAGTATTGTCAGAGAACTACAAAACTGCTGAAAGAATATTTTTAAAAAAACTAGTTTGTGCAACTGGAAAAGAGTTCTTGGAAGAAGTGGCATCAAGTTCAACTCCACTTACTAGGCTAACATCTGGATGCAAGAGGCAGTGAAAGGAAGCAGAGGGAATGGCATGGGCAACCCACAGAAGCACAAAGATGCAAAGTCTTTTAGGGAACAGCAAGAATTTAACTGTAGACTTTAGTGTATGAAGTGAAACTCTCCAATTAGTTTAGTAGAGGAGGAGGAGAATAAATAATTCTCTAAGGGCTGGGTGCAGTAGCTCATGCCTATAATTCTAGCACTTTGGGAGGCTGAAGCAGGATCACTTGAGCCCAGGAGTTCGAGACCAGCCTGGGCAACATATCAAACACTGCTATACCAAAAAATATATATATATATATAAATACACACATATACATATATACACACACATATATACACACACACATATATACATATATACGTATATACATATACACATGTATACATGTATATATACACACATGTATATATGTATGTACTTGTATATGTGTATATACATATATGTGTATACACACATATATACACATATATATATACACACACACACATATACACACACACACACACACACACACCCAAAAAAAAAAATTAACCGAGTGTGGGGGTGTATGCCTGCAGTCCCAACTACTCAGGACGCTAAGGCAGAAGGATTGCCTGAGCCGGAGTTGGAGGCTGCAGTGAGTCATGATCACACCACTGAGCTCCAGCCTGGGTGACAGAGTGAGACCCTGACTATTAAAAAAATAAAAATAAATGAATGTTAACTCTATTATTATTACCACAAGGGTACCAGACAGCACAGCACACTTGTAGAATCTGAAGTAGCGTCATCGATCAGGACCATACGTACATTGCAGTGCTGGCAAGAAGGAGAGACAAGGTGGAGCCTAGGAAGAAAGTGAAGCTAGATGAACAGCCTTGCACGGAGGCTCACAGGAGCTCCACTAGCCCAGGTGACACCTCTCAGTGAACTGGAAAGGTCCCCACCCACGGAAACCAGCCCCAGAGCTGTAGACAAGCTGGCAGGACTCCTCTTCTCACTGGTGCCCACATGCAGGGCACAATCAGCTTTATTACGAGCAGCAGTTGTGCATGCACAGGAGTCTGAATTTTATTCTTAAGACAGTAGGAACCTCCCTGAA